TGTGAAGGATAAGAGGAATCCCATATGGATCCCACAGGGGTAGGCTATGTCATGGACTGAGTTGTGACCCCCACACACTAGGTGTCATCTTAACTGGGCTTTGATCCTCAGTGGTTTGGCAGTTACGTGAAGATGAAACCTAGCAGTCATGCAATGATGCAATCACTCCCACTGTGAGATCGGATGTGATCAGTTGATCCATTGTAAGGGCAGTAGGGTAGGATGCAACCCCCTTACTCAGGTCACAGCCCTGACTCTCTGTAAGGGGACTTTCCCTGGTGTGTGTCCAGCACCACCTTTTATCTTATAAGAGATAAGAAGAGGGAAGAGTGAGCAGAGAAAGGGGGGACCCATTACCATCAAGAGAGAAGAACTGGGAGTAGAGAGCTTCTGTGGGCGTGGGGTCCCTGTGCTGAGAACCTCCTAGACCCTGGGGAAGATTCATGCCAAGGCACTTGGAGATCTCCAAGGGACACCAGGATGGTGGAAGGAGACAAGGATCTCCCCCAGAACTGACGGAGAGAAAGCTTTGCCTGCAACTGATGCTCTGAATTCAGGCTTCTAACCTCCCGAACTCTGGGAGGCGACATTTCTGTGGGTACAGCAGCAAGATAACCAAGACAGAAGGATCCTGAGATTGTAGCGACCGGGGTGGTGCAAATAGTGTACATGCTCGGTTGTTAATCAAAAGGTTAGGGGTCCGAGTCCAGCCAGAGATGCCAGGAAGAAAGACCTTGCTACCTGCTTCCTAAAAAGCAGCCACTGAAACCCGTAGGTAGCGCGCCTGTGCCCCGACAAGACGGCAGCTGGCAGAGGTGGCAGGGGAGACTGCAGGCAGCCCCTGGAAGAGCAGAGAGTGCTGTGGATCTCGTGTGAGTGACCAAGTGAAACCTGCAGAGGCCGGAACCTGGGTAAGGCAGACACCTATCAGAGCAGGAAAACACAAATATTTTCCATGATAGAGAGCAACTCAAAAGCAGTAAGGCTTGACCCTGTCAAAGGCAGAAAATGTGACAATCCAGAAAACCAAGGCAGTCCTGTTGAGTTCCGGCTCTCCCAGGTTTCACTGCATGGACAGACCTCGCTGTATTTCACTTCACTTTATTGTGCTTCCCAGATGTTGCATTTTGCACAAACTGAAGGTTTGCTGCAACCCTGCATGGAACATGTCTGTCGCTGTTATTTTTCCAACAGCCTGGGCTCACTCTGTGACTCTGTGTCCTGTCTTGGTCACTGTCACAACAGTTCAAACTGGCTCATGGTGCTGTCGCCCACCAGACAGACCATAGCATAGTGCCAACAGAACTTTTCCACTACACTTGTTGTTGTTGTTGTTGTTAGGTACTGTCGAGTTGTCTCCAACTCATAGTGACCTTATGTACAACAGAATGAAACACTGCCCGGTCCTCTGCCAACCTCCCAATCCCTACTATATCTGAGCCCATCACCGCAGCCACTGTGTCAATCCATCCATGCACTGGGAAACCAAAACAGTCTGTGTGACTCACTTCGTTCGACACTCGCTTGACTGCGGCAGTCTGGGACCCAACCCGCAAGTTCTCATCCTGAATGAGCCCTGAGGGGTATCAGGTATTCTCCTCGAGTCAGAGAGAGAGCCCAGCTACTTGAGCAAGGGGTGTGGACTGTCCCACTCATAGAAGCATAGGGTGTGTCCTGGCCTGTGGGGAGTGACAGACATGAGCTAGCTCTCTGGCATGGCTTGGGGTGAAGAACCACCATGTGGAAAGTGAGGGGTGCAGGTGTGTCATTTGGAGGAAATGGGGAGGGCTGGAATAGGGCCTGTATCTCCCAGTGATGAGGACCAGGAAGGGAGGACCTACTGGAGAGGCAGGATGTCTGCTCTGAGAGGTCTGTTGGGAGGCGTGTGCTGAGGGCTTCAACATGTGGGCAACAGACATAGATTCCACTGTGGGTGGGGGCCAAGAGGTCTGTCTCCCAAGGGCCCCAGAGGGGAGTGAAGGCTGTCTGCAGTATGGGAAGAGCAAGCTGACACCAGGAACCCGGGCTCTTTCTCTAGGGGTACAGGCTGTCCGGATTCAGGCTTTGTTGGGGACACAGGATATCTGGTGTACAAACTGTAGCTGGGGCACAGGGTGGTCTAGGGGTGCAGACCTTTGGGGGGGGGCAGGCTAAGCTCAGAGGCACTAGATTTCCCGAGGGACAGACTGTATGGGGACATGGGCTGTTCCGGGGCACTGGTTGTTCTGAGGGTTTGGGCTGTAGCTGGAGGTATAGGGTGGTCTAGGGCATGGCCTGGTCTGTGGTGTGGACTGCTCTGGGGACACAGTCTGGTCTCGGGGTGAAGACTGGGGGTACAGTGTGGTCTGGGACATGGCCTAGTCTGGGGTATGGGCTGGTCTGTGGTGTCGATTGCTCTGGGGACACAGTCTGGTCTTGGGGTGCAGACTGGGGGTACAGTGTGGTCTGGGACATGGCCTAGTCTGGGGTATGGGCTGGTCTGTGGTGTGGATTGCTCTGGGGACACAGTCTGGTCTTGGGGTGCAGACTGGGGGTACAGGGTGGTCTAGGACACGGCCTAGTCTGTGGTATGGGCTGGTCTGTGGTGTGGACTGCTCTGGGGACACAGTCTGGTCTCGGGGTGCAGACTGGGGGGGTACAACTGTTTGGGTGTACAGGCTGGTCTTGGGGTTCTGGCTATAGCTGCAGGACAAGCTCCCAGCACACACCGTGTGGAAACTTAGGTCACCTGGGGATACGTCAGGGACCCAGGCCCATGCAGGGACCCACTTTCTCTCTGCACAGCTTGAACACAGGTCGAGCTGGCTACTGGCTCTACCTTGGAGGACAAGCTTTCAGGGCTCAGACTCTTCTTCAGGGTCCCAGCCCCCTCTTCGGGGCTCAGGCTCTCTCTGGGGCCCGGTTTTCTCAGGCACAGACCCCCCGTCTTACTGTCTGTGGCCTCGACGCGGGGCAGTGGCCGCTCACCTCCAGGCAGCGCAGCAGGGCCGCAGGTGCCCCTGCCCGCGGGCACATCGGCCTGCCACAGGCGCTTGGTGCACACCTTCCACAGTCCCAGGTGGGCGGCATCGCAGACGGCGCTGTCGTTGGCCCTGTAGGTGTTGAGTTCCACCCAGAACTCAGTGCCCACGGCCAGCACGGCCAGCGTGGCCCCCATGGCAGCCAGCAGCAGCGCCAGCTTGATCTTCCCTTCTCGCTCCGGCGTCGGCTGGGCGCCCTGCTGCCCACGGGCCCGCCGCCGGCCCACCACCCCACGCCGCAGGTCCTCTTCTGGCAGGAAATTAGGCCACATCATCACGTTGGTGGCCAGAGTTCAACGGGGGCAGGGCTGAGCAGGGCCAGAAGGGAAGCCTGGGGCCTTGGTGGAGGCGAGGGGCCCCGTGTCCACTGGGGTTACAGAAGAGGGAGATGGGGTCCTCCTGGAAACTTACAGGGAAGTACTAGGGTTCCTCCAATGGTCCACTTGAGGCTGCCTTGGGGCTCAGAGGAGAAAAAACTAGATGCCCTGGGTGGGGTTCCTCTCAGGTCTAGAGGAGGGGATGGGAGACCCCCCAGGGCCTCAGCAAAAAAATGGGGTGCAGAGGAAAAGTAAGGTCCCCCAGGCTCAGAGACAGAACTAGGGTACCCAGGAGGGGGGCCAGAGTGCTGGTTGAAGTGCTGGGGGGCTGTTTTAGGGTCCCCACTGGGATTCACAAGAGTCTGTGCACCCCACCAGAGTTCAGGGTACCCAGGAAGGGAAGCCGAGGTCTCCTGAGTGAGGAAGATGAGGACCTCTACAGGCTCCGTAACAAAGACCTGAGGCTGCAGGGAGCTGAGAGGACGGTTCAGAGAAGGAATGGGGTTCCCGGGGATTCCTAGAAGGGAAACCCTGGGGCTCAGAGAAGAGGGGCTGGGGTCCCTGGGGACCCACTGGGAGTTAGGGAAAGGGGATGAAGGTGTCCCTGGCCATTCAGAGGAAAGAGATCAAGGTCCCCACTGGGACCCGGAAGGGGGACTGGCAGCTGACACAGTGGAAACCACAAAAGGGGTGTGGGGTTCAGAAGAGGGACCCCCACTGGGCTCAGATGAAGGGGCTGCAGGCCTCACCTCGGCTCAGGAAAGGGGACACAGTCCCAGGGTTCAAAGGACAATTGGGACCCCGAAGGCGGTGGGAGTCCCTTGGGGTCACTCTGTCTCCCTCCCCCGGGCTCCCAGGGCCGGCCCAGCCGGGACAGCGCCAGGCTCGCCTCCAGGCCGCGGGGGCCCCCCTCGGGCCGCCCACCCGCGCCTCCAGGGCCGGGGCCCCTCGCTCTCCTGCCTGGGCCGGGCTGCCCCCGGCTCCGCGCTGCCTCCGACCGACCGTCCGGCTCCGCCGCCACCGCCACCGCCTCGCGCACCCCGGCCTGGCCCCTACCCACTCACCCCACCCTCCTGGGCTATTTCGAGCGCTACCCGTAAATAACACCCGCACCTGTCGCCCGGCGCCTGTTGCCATAGGGATCCCGGGTATTTTAAGGGGACAAGGGGGGTGGAGGGAAGTCCCCCAGGGAGGAGGGGCGCGGGCGGCCCTAGAGGGGTGCAGCCTGAAGAGACGTCTGCTTCCTTAGCAGCGGGCTGCAGGGTCCCCTCGCCAGGACCTCCGAGGAGGCAGCAAGGGCAGGGCGGGGACCCTGCATTCCTGGGGGCCGAGGCTGCCAGGGAGAAAAGCCTGGGCCCGACAGCTGGGTCCCCGCAGGAGGAGGGAGGCCTGACCACCTGGACCCCAGTAGCATGGGACCAGGGTTAGGCTCCAGAACTCTGGGTGCCGCAGGAGGGGCTGGGGGCCGGGACGCCCAAGGCCAAGGAAGGAGGGACTAGGGGTCCCGACTCCAGGTCCGAAGGAGGGTTAAACTCCTGGGTCCAGAGGAAGAGGCGCTGGGGGCCAGAGCTCCTGGGTCCTGGAGGAGGGACTGGGGTCAGGACTCCCTGGTCTGAGGGAGGAGGAGGCTGGGGGCTCCCCTGGGTCTGAGGAGGGTTGGGGGCCCAGTCCCGTGTTGGGGTGGGAAAGGCAGGCCTCCGAGGGGGCCTGAGTGTGGGGCCCGAAACCACAGCAGCCATCCTCTTCATTGCGTTTATTAGCCGGGGCGCCCCTGGGGGACCTTCCATGCAGTTGCAGCCCCCCAGGGGCAGGGACCAGGACAGCCGTGTGGCGTGGTAGCAGGGCCTGGTCTGCGAACCCCTGGCCTCTCCCTCAGCCCTTCTGCAGACGGCCCACACGGGACCCGCCTGTCACCAACCCCTGCGCCCTCAGCCGGCTGCCCCAGCGGGGCCTGGTGACGGCCTGGCCAGGGCTCTGAAGCACCCGGCCCTCCGTCTCCCCTGCTGCCATCAAAGCACACGCTGTCCTGACCTGTGATTGTCTGCATCTGTGTCCTGCTCTCCCACCAGCCCGGGGCAGGGGCCAGGGACAGGAAGAACTCATCTTGACATGATGCCTGGCCCAGCCCAGGCCCAGATGCAGGGGAGGCCTTAGGAAATGTGCTAGGTGAGTGAATGAACGAATGAACAAATGAATGAAATGCCGACCCACAGACACCCCTCCCGAGCTAGGCAAGGCGCCCGCATGGACCCCGTTAGCACGTCTCCGCGTTCTAACCGTCTGCTTGTCTCCTCCAAAGGACAGGCTGGGATGGCTGGAGCTCTGGGGGGCAGGGCCTGGCACATAGAGGGACTCAGGAAATACTTGTCAAATGAATGAATGAAACTTGTCCTTTCTCTCCCCCTCACTGAGGTTTCCCAGGTCTTGGCAAGATCCAAAGGGCAGTCCCAGAAGGCTGGCAGCTGCGTAGCAGCGGGCAGCCAGGGCTGGACGAAGCAGGCAGGGCCATCTGAAAGACTTGGCCACCCCTTCCAACGCCTCTAGCCCACGCCCTGAATCCGTGTTCCTCTCGGCCCTGGGTTTCCCCATCTTCCTCAATCTTCTCTGCCATGACAGCTCTCTGCTTTCAGGGTACGGCCACAGTAATGGAATCAAACACACCAACAACCATTCAGATGGCCCGGGACCAAGCAACATCTCACGCTGTTGTACAAGGTCGCCATCAGTTGGCAGCAATAATTCCAGGATGTATTTTTCCGATTTCCGTCCCCCTGGTCTTTGAGCATCCATTTCTCCCTGCTGTGGAGGGAGAAATTTCCTTCCGCCCCCTCCTCCCACATTCTCTCCTGCCCGCCTCGTCAGCTGGCTAACATCCCCAGGGGTACTCTGAAGTGACCACACACTAAAGTCATCAGCCACATCCATGTTCCCAAACCCAGCGAGCAATTTGCTCTGATCTTCCTCCGACTCTCAGCACCCGTTCCTTCCTTGAAACATGTTGTTTTGGGGTTTCTGTGCTCCTCCTGGTTTCTGCCCACCTTATGGTCATGCCCTGTAGGCCCTCTTCCCCCCTGACATGGGTGCCCCCAGGGCTCTGGCCAAGGTCATCTTATTTATTCACATTCCCTCTCCCAGTCACCTCATCCAGGCCCTGGCTTTCAATGCTTCTATAGGCTGCCATTTCCAAGACTTCAATTCTAGCTATACCTGCACCCCAGAGCTCTTGGCTTACATGTCCAACTGGCGACTTGACACCCTGACTGGGATGTCTCACCCTCTCCAACTGGGCAAACCCAGAGGAGAACCCTTGGTCCTTCCCACACAGATCTCATTTCCTCCTGTTTCCTCTTCCTGGCAGCCCTCCAAAGCTGTCACCTGGGTTGCTCAAGTTCAGTTCAAACAGGTCCTCACTCTCCCTTACCAGGGTCTCGCACTCACTCCCCTACTACCCCCGATTTGTAGGCTCTACCTCCAAAACTCTATACCCGGTCCTTCCCATTCTCTCCCCACCCTGGTGTCCTCACCCTGGTCCAAGCACCGGAACCCCCACTTGGATAACTACATGAGTTCCCCCTCACTGCCCTCTTGCCGACACTTCTGACCCCAAAATCTATCCACAGCAGTGTGATTCGGTGCGGCCTTGTTTTGCTTCGAATGGGTATCTGATCACGTCACTCTTGTGCTCAAAACCCACCAATGACTTCCCATTGAGTCTAGGAGAAAATTCCAAGTCTTACTTGATCGGCCCCCAGCCCTATTCTCTCGGCCATTCCTCCTCCCTTCACCCCATGGGATTCCTCCTGTTACACCTCAGAGCCTTGGTGTCTGGAATGCGTGTCCCCAAATTTCTGCAAGTCCATTTCACATCTCTGTTCAAATGTTAGGAGCTCTGGTGGCACACTGGGTAAGGCATCTGGCTGCTAACCAGAAGGTCAGTGGTTCAAACCCACCAGCCACCCCATGGGAGAAATATGGGGCAATCTATTTCCATAAAGATTTACAGCCTTGAAAACCCTATGGGTGCTGCAATGAGTTGGAATCAACTCAGTGGCAGTGGTTTTTTTTGTTTGTTTCTTTGTTTAGGTTCAAATGTTACTCTTCAATGAGGTCTTCTCTGACCACCTACCTACTCACTCCTGTCCCATCACCCTGTTTTCACATCTGTTTGATTTTTTAAGCTCTTATCAGGATCCAGGACTAAGGTGCACCCGATACTAGCCATGGTATTTTCAAACGCCTCGTATGCATGTGAAAGCTGGACAATGAATAAGGAAGACTGAAGAAGAGTTGATGCTTTTGAGTTGTGGTGCTGGCGAAGAATGCTGAAAGTACCATGG